AGCTCAGCAGCACTCAGAGATGTGGATCTACCACAGTATTTTCTTAGAGTAACAAAAATTGATGTGATCCATAGGGAAGCTTAGAGATTTTCTAAAGAAGGTGAGCAGTGGAACACAGAAAAATTATATGGTGAGCACAGGCTTGTGCAGAGTAGAAATGAGACAAGACAAAGAGCCACTATTTAATTATATATTAGAAGGTAGCACTAAGGTAGCATGGATTTGTTAACTTGCAATTTAAAAAATATTTTTATTACAAAATTTAACAGGGTATTAACACATAAGACCTCTTAGCAATTTATAAGAGGATTGCCTATGACTGTACAAAATGAGGAGTAACTTAAGTGAAGTGTTGAATGGAGAAAAATGAAGGCATGAAAAACGATTGACACAGGGAAGGAAAATCCTGACTGCCTTTGGTCTAGAAACTTCTCTAAGAATTTTCTTTGTATTCCCTTACAATTTTTACAGTTTCTTTTTCTTTTCTCTCCCAAGCAGAAAAATGAGCCATATAATTACTAAGTCATCAGCTGTAGGCTGATACAGAAGTCATGAGTCACAACCAAAAAGCCACAAGCTCTGAAAACTCATCCCATTTCTCGTTGCCTTCTAATTACAGTTTAAAGGAAGGTTATGTTGTTCCTCAAAGTGTGTTTTTCTTAAAAATATGGGATTCTGTGCTTGCTGCTCTGAGGGGTCTCTGATTACCTTTCCTAATCCAGTCTGCTTTCTTCCATTTGCTCATGTTCTCACTCGACCTTCTTCCCTGCATCCTGATGTCTTACTCATAAGCTACGCTTTCCCTATATTTGTCTTTGTCACTTTTTTTTTTCTATTTCTGTTTATCATGCAAGTTTTCACTGTCCTCCTCAGTTTATCTCGTAATATCGTCCTTAGCCAGAATTCTGGCTCACTCCTCCTACATCAATATTTTCCTCTCCCTTCATTTAATTATGAATCCTGTTCTTTGCATATTCATCTCTCTTTCTTGTGTTGCATGGTACCTTTGCTTTCTTCTTTCATTCCTTTTCCTTTTATTCGTACTCATCTTGACTCTTGTATTGATGAACTTGTCAGATTTGGTAACTAATCTGACCAGTTTCAGATTAGTTACCAGCTCTCCAGTTTTTGGTAACTCCAAAGTTGCCAAAACTCCAGTTTCTGCAGTCAGATGATGAAATGTGAATCTGAACTACTTTTTTTCACTGGAGGAGTTCCTTATTCTCTTAAGGGCAGAGAAAAGCTTGTTATTGTAGCTACAGTGCCTCTTGAAGATGTAAAAGCTAGAATGCAAATACAAATTCAACTTATTGTTAGCTTAGGAGAGTGACTGAAGACTGTCCAATTTAAGGAGATTGAGTTAGTGACTCTTATGTTCTTCCTTGCTCCCTTTCTATAGGTTAGCTCCTGTGTTCCTTCTTTGGCCACCTTTACCACTGTCCTCTAGTACATACAGGCAGTGTGTGTCATTGCTGCCACTTGGGTTCTGCTGTTGTGGCAACAGCAGAAGTGGGCTGTGACATTTAATTATAATCTTTAACAGAAAATGAGTTTCAGGTTTGTTGCCAGTGCATACATCAGCCACACTGTTGCCAGAAAATCAGTGCTTATAATTTCAACTCTGCAAGAAGGTCTCTTGAAGGAAATGCCTGTGGATCTGAGCAGAGGAATCTGAGACACTAGAGGAAGGCTAGGGAGATGCTCTGAGCTTCAGGGCTCTTAGAGCAGCTGGTTGTAGCTGAAACAGCGGCCATATGAACGTGGTGTCACATCACTAACGTCAACTCTGGACCGTAATTTTTCTTCAGATGGGATTGCAAATGGTTTTGCACATCCCACATGCTTTCCTACAAATATGCTGTGTCAATCCATTCTAACATACTGAATTATCTATTTTTCTTTCAAAACTCTTAAATGTGTGTTTCTTACCAGTGGCAGCAGTACAGGAAACTCCTACCCTAAGGGGTAAGACAGTGTTCCCTAGTGCTTGAGGAAAGTTTGTCATGACTCCTTTTGTTGAGAGTTTGATATGAGAATAATTTTCAAATAGAAATTTTTAAGAACAAAAAGTGCTTGTGAAGGTTTGGGATTTCTTTTCTTTTTCTTTTTTTTTTTTTTTCCTGGCAAATGGGTCTCTCTGAAGACTGGTTTCAGACATACAGGAAACCTCTGATGTAAGTCACTTTTCTTCTTGCAAAAACTTCACTTTTTGCATTTCAACAAGCTGAGAGTGAAAAACCATATAATCTTCCAAACTGTAGTTTGTTTATAAACTGAAGTTGACAGAATTATGCTGTCTACTAGTAATGAATGTATTAGCTGCTATTTGAAAGCTGTCACGGAAGATTATTGTTGAATGTTTTTTTGGCAGTAAGAGTGGTGGAGAAGCTACACAGATGAATATCTAGTTGAATGGTTCTGAAGTCTGGAGAAGTCTGCACTTATCTTAAGAAGCAGCACCTGAAATAATTTTTCAAGACTTCACCTGTTTATCAGAGAAGCACTTAATAGTGCTTGCAGACAGAGACTATTCTATGACTTCTTATTGGGATTTTTCTTCTTGCAGTGCAAATGAAGAAAGTGTGACCCTTAGGCTACATTTATGAGTTTCTGCTTTTTCAGTCATGTCAGCTGAAGAGGGAAGAAGTTTCTACCCCAACCAGTATAAATAAAGGCAGTTTAAGTAAATTGGTTTGTAGGAGCCATATAAAAGCTAATTCATTTCAATCTTGATAGATGTATGTAAGTGCATTAACAGTATTGTTAGTGATCTCTTCTGAAATGTAGTAAATGCTTGATGGAGGGTGTCCACAAGTCACTGCAAACACCTTGGGGAAATCTGCTAAGTGTATAGCTGGACTCAGGGTGTACAGAGGCATATGGAATGGTATAGTTAATAATAACATAACCATAACACAGCATATATTATAATGTTGCAAGTCACTTAGTAGTTTGCACCTGTCTAGAATACTGTCTGTGGTACATTTGAACTGGTGTGAGGCTTAAACTACTTGTTATTTCGCCTTCCTGCCACAGCACATGCAATCATGACAATATGATTGTTTTTTAAAATGTTGATATAAATAGGAATAAATAATTCAGTTTAGTGTTCCCTATATTTTTATAATAAAACAAAAAGTAAGTAATGATTTACTCTGAAAGCAGTAGCAAATTTTGAAAGTAGCATATATGAAATAAGGAACACCTTTATCCAAAAAAGGCAGCATGTGCTATTTTTTTTCCTATCTTGATTACATTTCTGTGAATTAGTCTTATATCATCTTCTATCATGGAGACACATTGTTTTGGTCATCTGTAATTGGAGTTTCACAAAAATAGTCCCTAATATTAGTAAATCTGCTAATAATCCTAGGGGTAGTTAAAAAACATTCTCAGTAATTTTCTCCCATTTACAGTTTATAACAATCACACTAATGTTACCATTTTAAACAGAAAAAAACATTTTATGTGAATCTTAAAGTGAATCAACCAGAGACACCAGTCCTTTTGAAAAGATAATGTGTGATGCTAAAGCCGCCTTTTTAAGTCACTCTTCTACTTTTTGTTTTGAAGTCAGACACCAGAGCTAAGCATTCAGCTTACATTGGCAACAGTTCAAAAGGAAGGTAAACAACTTTCACTCTGTTAGGTGGATGTTCCCTATTCATTCAAGATGTGTCTAACCTTTAGTTTTGAAGGGAAGGTGACTAGTTCAGTATGAAAAATTAAGCTTTTTGTCTATGCAGGTGACTCTCCCTCGGTGCCGAGTGTTTTGCGTGTTGTACTTGTGTAACGTGGAGTCAGTGTGATCACTCCGCTGTACAAACATTGTGCTAACGAGTTGGTTGAGCTTCCTTGGGCTCATCAACCAGTCTGATAAAACAGTCTTTCCAGTTATGGCTACAAACTGCAGACTTTTCTTAACTATTGCAGTAAATCCTTGGCAGCCATCCTGTGGAACACACACTCTCAGAGCGCACGCAGTCAAGCGAATGCGTCCTGTCCTGGTTTTTGAGCATGTGAGGACTCAGGACTGTGCCACACATTTCCTGGGGTCTGTGCCATCGGGCCCAAAGGCACAGACTTTAAACAAGCAGCGTTAGTGCAATGCAGCCGAAAAACTAAGACAAAAAGAGTAAAATTCAACTGTCTGTATGTTTTGAAATTAAGGTTTTGTGTAGGTCCCCTTTCAAATGGATAGATTTCTGTGGAATACTTAACTTTCTTGAATGTAATTTTTCCAGCAGAAAATCATCCTGTCAGAATTACTTCACTGTACTTTGATAAGTATTATTAATACAAAATTATAAACTTGCTGCTTTTAGTGACATGATAGTTTCCTAATACGCTGTGAAATTTCAGTCTTCTTTTTGTAAGCCGTCAAGCCACTTTTGTATGAAACTGTTTTGTATTTGGGAAAATTGAGATTTCAATTTGATGAAACAGTTCAGAAACTTAATTTCTCTGTATTATACAAATTCCAAAGTGATGCTCCTGAATGCTGAGGAAATGCAAAACTTGTCAAGAGAGACTTATAAAAATAGTACAGTAATGCTTCAACTTTAATTTGCTTGAACTTTATGTTGTTGTTGAACTCTTTGATATCCCAGAAGTATTAGATGAAACAGTGGCTTTTCCCTGGTTTATGAATTAATGTTGTTTTTTCTCTTGAAATAATTATTTGCTACTGCTTAATTTAAACCAGTGTGTTTTCATGTTCCTTCCACGGCCAAGCATCATACGAACCAAGACATACGAACCAAGACATTAAACACACATATTTTTAAAAGGGAGTATTGTGAAGAATCCAAATAAAAAGGGTAGGGCCTTCTTGTTAATTCTGTGATGCATTCATAATAATAACATTATTGAAATGTATGATTCAAGTAAGACAAAGAATATGTGGCAATTACTCAAAAAAAAAAAAAGACTCCGGTTTTTAGTTTTATTTTTTTTCCATAATCTTTTACTTAATCTGAAAACCTTTTTTTCTGTTACAGGTAAATCAAGCCATTTACACTGCACAGAAATGGAGGTAAGAGAAATATTTTGTGTTGTCTACTAGAGCTGATCTAGCTCAACTCTTTTCCATTAACTTACAGATTAGATGTGGTGCACTTATCCTGTGTAGTTACCATTGCAAAGTTGTACTGTGTATTGCATTGATGACTTTTGTTGACAGCTGCATAAATGTGTCTTAACATGGGATATTTAGTCTTATGTTCAGGAACAGAGGAAAGAAAGGCTGTGTGGTTTTTCAAAAACGAGAGATATGCTATACAGCTGATGTAATTTCATTTGATACTAATTTCTTTAAAAAATATATGGTTTTTTTAGCAGAATATTTCATTTAGGTAACTTCTGTTGGATAAATTCTCCTGTTTTACTTACTTTAGAAAGGACTAATAGGCCATGGAATAATTACTTAGTGTTTATGGAATGGCTTGGTGATTACTGACAACCTGAGAATTTGGATGGAAGCAGAGAATACAAGTTATCTCAGGGTTGTTTGTCCATCTAAAGACATCCTGATTTCAGATACTTTTAATATTTTCTTTAATTGATCACTTGGCAATGTTTTGGGGCACAAGATACATTGTTGTATGTCTTGCTAGGGTAGCAGTAGAAACACAAATCCATTTAATTCTGCTTCATTTATATCTTGGCTATTATTTAACTGTATCTTTGATACTAAGCTGTGACTTGTGTTGTAAGAGAATGTTCAAACTATCATTTGTCAGATTCATAGATTTAATACAAGACTGAAAGAAAAACTAAGTCGAACGTCTAGTTGAACAAGATGTGGAGTCACAGTATAATTTTTATTATCATACAGAATAAATAATACAGTCTACTCCTTAAATAAACTTTTCCAGCAATAAATACAATTTCTGTGTCCTTTGCAGGGTAGCCTTTTCTCACTGCCTTTGAACTTTCTTTGAAATGTAAAACTGAGTTTTTACTTCAACTGTTCCATCAGTACCTCAGGCTGAGCCTGGAGATGGGACAAGGGAAGCATCTTAATTGGTGGGTTGTCTGCCTTCTCATCAATAATATATACAGAGGTGACAAACTGCTGTTACCGAGTGGTTTATACAGAGATAAACTGGGCATGATAATGGCTGCTTTAAAGACAAAATGAAAGGCCAGCTAATGCAACTACAAATGGTAAAGTGCTAACGCCATCCAGGTTTTTGGAAGTATTATTAATAATAATAAATCAAAAAACATACTTTCTGCAGGATATGGTGTAAGGAGTAATTCTTAACACATGCAAGTACAGAAATTGGAAGTAGGTGCGTTTTATTTCTTTCTGTGGTTCAGTTTAAGGAAATGCATCCTGGTTTTGTTTCAACATTTGTAAAATCTCAGTTCACAAATCTAGTGCCTTATTTAGAAATTATAATCTGTTGTGTCATCTGCTTTGCATACTAAATATCATTACAATTTTGCTTTGTGTCTTTTAAATGGAAGGTAATGAAAGGCCCTAACACTAAAAATGCAGATAATAAATCCCTGTTAAAATATTTTTAGCAAAACATAAAATACTTCATTTTGGGAAAGTAAAAGTGCTTTTGCTTCAAATGAAAATGTCTAGTAAGAGTCAGTTGGACATGTTATACTTCATCTTCCATGGGAAAAGAGTTCTTTAATTTTGATATTTCAAAAATATTTTTTGTTGATAGTTGAAAAGAAAATCAGATTAGAATTTCCAATGAGACAGAGGCTTCCTTTTAAAATGTCTCTAATAAGAGACTGTGACCATTAGCATATTGGCTCTTCTCTTTATCTCTGTCATTTTGAAGGAGACTGTGAAAGAGTCAGTGGCTTTTTCCTTTCCAAAATTCCTTTGGGGTTGCAGCATTAGACTTGAAGTTGATGATGTTTGTGTTTTTCAGAAAAAGGAGTTCAGCAGAGACAGTTCATCTCACTTTTGTGATTCCTGTGTAAGAGAGTATGGCCTGATTGAACATACTAGAATATGTGGGAAACTTCATAAAATCTTAACTAATAACAATCATAACTTTTTTGCAAAACATCCTGTAAACTATCCTGAATTGACATGCCTTTTATTTCAAGCTAGCAATGTGAGTGGTGTGTCAAGTTCAGAGTCCAGCTGCCGTAGCCATAATGGGAAGATGGGAATAAGGTGACCCTACGTAATCTGCACCTGCCTGTAACTCTGTTATGTACATAATGATAGCTCTCCTTAGTCATCTCAGCCAAGGTGGTGAAGATTATATAAAATATGCCAGCCTCGTTTGTAAATATTTAGTGCTCATATAGGAAGTATTCTGTGAATGCAAAGTGATTCATATGTAGGAGGGTTTAATTGCCTGTATTTGAAAAGACCCACCTAACTGAGCACAGGTCTGTAGTGTATGATTAATGCAGTCAACCAGAATGTACGCTAATATAAAGATACACGCAGCCTCTCACATTTGTTAAGGAGTCAGAAAGGAGTTAAAGAACCTGTCCCAAACAATGGTGCATAAATTGTTCAACACCATTCAGTTCATGTCAAACCACTAAGGGAATCAATTGTAGAAGTGTTTTAGGGAGATTTTGTCTGCTCTGTATGCAAATTCTATTCATGAGCTACCAGATGAAAAATCTCAGCATACAGTAAAAATTATGGTACTTGTCTGTGGAGATAATTTTTTAACCTTTTCATTGGGAACTTAAACATTGACTGTATTTCGGATAATCATTCAGGGAAATAAATATATAGATTATAAGCATACAGTGTTTGCTTTGATACAAATGAGAATATACCTGTTAGTTCAGTGTATTGATGTGAATAAAATCATCACTTCTCTCATGCAGATGAAAATAAGAACATGTATTTAATAGCACAGAATGTTAGAATTTCAAAAGAGGTGTCATAATGCCACACCTATATTAAAGTGCTCATAATTCAAGCAGTGTAAAATGTGTATTTAACATATGCTAATATCTAGGGTTCATATTTTTATCCATGTTGAGTGTAAACAAAAGTAACATTCTGATTGAGGAGTAATTGCTGCAGCAAACAATCCTTGTCATGCACAGTAATAATCACTTTGTTCTCCTTCCTGAACATTAACCTTAGGGTGACAAGGGAGAAGAAATGGCATTGAACAGAGGACAGGCAAAAATGTTAGAGAATCATTTCTCCTGGAAAAATATGACTGAGTGTGACTTCCATCAAAATAAGTTTTGATTATGTACTGAAGAAATAAATTTCTCTGTAAATGCTTGATTACAAATTTGGTGATTTTATGAATGCTTTTGATTCCTTGTGCTTTTAAGGGGAAAATTAGCAAGCACTTGGAATTGCCTTCTAGAAACTGAAGTAGAATCATGCATCTTTTCTTGCAAGCATTAATTTGTGCTTGACCATTATGTGGCAGTTCTGATGAGTGAAGCACTTATCCCTTGATGATGGAATTATCTCTCAGAGAAGCTGCGTGTCCAGCCGAGAAGGGACTTGTTATTTTAGATACCTGAAAGACCATTATGCTTGTACATTGATGTGGGGATTCTGTGGCAGTCAGTCTGACCTCCTGGTTTTCCTGAAATACTTCATAGTCACAAAGAAGCAGCTTAACAGACATTTGATTAAATAGTGAACACACAAAAAAGTAGAATTTATGTTTTGATCTATAGTGTTTTGTAATGAGCTGCTTTTTCAAGAGAAGCTTTGTTTTCTAGCACATGAGGAGGAGATCGATCTTGGAAAAAAATGGATTTCTAGTGTTTACTTGCTATAAGCTTGGCACATTGCCATTTTCATTCAGCAATTTAATTAGGAATACGCAGCAAATATTGAACTGGAGAACTAATAATGTATTTGACTAAGCTGATTTAGTGATAGTACAATCCTGCCATCTGTCCAGAGTCTCTAAGAGAATTCAGCTGTTCCTTGTAAAGGCTTTTTGCAGGTAGTATGATGTGCCTTTATTAATCTACACACCCTAAAGTCACACAGGATTTATGATGAAATCTTCATTCCAGTGATACCACCGATAAACCTCTCAGTCAGCTGAGGAAGAGTCCAGAGGAAGATTTCAGCCTTTGGTCTTCTGACAATTTCAGATAATGGGTGGTGGAAAACTAGGTCTTACGGTAACTTGGATCCCTCCAGGGAAGGTTTTGCCTGTGAAAAACACAAATAACAGAGCATGGAGCATTATGTTAGGTGGTGGTGGTGTTTTTTGATTTTTTGGGGGGAGTTTGGTAGATGGGGTTTTTTAGGTTTTGTTTGTTCATTTGTTTTTTAAATATCAAAGCACAAAAATATTCCCTGTATAGTTACCCTGTGGTAATTACAGAATTACCTATTTTTTTTCATGGGATTAAATGGGAAAGTTTGCAAATATAGATTAAATGACTCTGAAAGGCGTCTCAAGAGTTTTGGAAGAATAAGATAATTTGTACAGGTCTTTAGTTTTTGCAGAACCCTTTCGATATAAATTCTAATATATTGTGCTTGACAAGATACCCATTTTATATCAGTGGCATGTTAGCATACCTGTGGCAGCAATCATATGTACTGATTGATAGCTATCACATCAATTAGCTGTAAGGTACTATTTTATGAGTAAACCAGTGCTAGTGAACGTGTTTGCCTGTCTGTTCAGACCAAGAGAGCAATTTGATGGCTTATTCAAACTGCAGGGAAAAATTAGGCTTCAGATGTTGTTTGCATATGTACAATTTAATGGCCCTTTGTGTTGTCCTGCTTTGTTGTTGTATGTAATAAAAGATGAATTTAGAGTATCAGTATGAAATAAGAATGCTGTGTTCCATACTTTTCTTTTTTTGGCTTGTTATAGCAAATAAATTTTAAGCTACAAAACTTACAACTACATTTCTGATCTGCTAAATCCCTCAAAGGCTTCTGAGATTATATGACATTGTTTTTCTATGAACTCTGCTAGTTATGAATTTTCTGTTAGAGGTGCTGTGTTTTCCTGCCTCTTTGTTAACTACCAAATAGTTAATAGAAAAACATAATCCAAACAAGGAGTATGCTTTCTGTGGATGAACAGA